GCTTTTTTTCTTTTTGCTTATGTGGTGCTGAGGAATCGAACCCAGGGCCTCAGGCATGCAAGGCAAGCACTCTACCACTGAGCCACCTTCCCAGCCCCAGGTCTCTTGCTTTGTTTGAGCCCCAACTCCTGTGTTTTCTAGAAGTTTCTCCTACTGCTCCAACTTAACGATCTCATTAGGAATGAATATGCCAATTATAGGAACTTTTGTTGTTGTTGGTCATGAGGCTTGAACTCAGGGCCTGGGCGCTGTCCCTCAGCTCTTTTGCTCAAGGCAAGCATTCTCCTCCTTGAGCCACAGCACCACTCCCAGTTTTCTGATGGTTAATTGGAGACAAGAGTCTCATGGACTTTCCTGCCCAGGCTGGCTTTGAACCGTGATCCTCAGATCTCAGCCTCCTGAGTAGCTAGGATTACAGGTATAAGCCACCTGCGCCCAGCTGTTTTTTCTTTTTCTTTTATTTTTGTGTTTATGCCAATCCTGGGGCTTAAACTCAGGGCCTGGACACTGCCCCTGAGCTTTTTTGTTTTGTTTTTGCTCAAAGCTAGCATTCTACCACCTGTGCCACAGCTCCACATGTTTTTTTTTTCCCCAGTAGTCCATTGGAGATAAAGAGTCTCATATACTTTCCTGTCTAAGCTTATTTCCAACTATGATCCTCAGATTTCAGCCTCCAGAGCAGCTAGGATTACAAGAGTGAGCCACCAATGCCTGGCTGGGTTTTTGTTGTTGTTTTGTTTTTGTTTTCATCATGGAATCGTGACCTGCCTAAAACTGGAGATCCTTCTGCTCTGCCTAATGTGTGTTGGGATTGTAAGTGTGCACAACCACACACCTAACAAATAGAAATATTTCACAATTTTAGTTTGGCTGGGGCTTGAACTCAGGGCCTTGTGCTCTTTGCTTAGCTTTTTTTTTTTTTTTTCACTCCAGACTGGTACTTTACCATTGGTGGCCCACTGGCTTTCTGCTGGTTAACTGGAGATCAGAGTCTCAGGTTTGTCTGCCTGGGGCTGGCAGGTTCACCGTGATCCTCAGATCTCCATCTGCTGAGCAGCTAGGATGACAGGCGTGAGCCACCAGCGTCGGGCCTAATTATTCATTGCGCTGTAGGGTCTCCACCTTTGCCCAGGCTGGCCTTGACCTTGACATCATTCCTGTCTCAGCTGGTCAATGCTGAGATTACAGGCCTTGGTGGGGAAAAGACTTCCCGGGGTCCTCGCATGGGTGGCTGGGGAGTCTCACCTTCCCAGGTTCGCAGGATGGTGATTCTGCAGAGGTCCAGGCCCGGGGCGCACTCCTCCACTCGGCAGCGCTCGGTGCTGTTACACCGCACACAGCGCAGGGCCCTGGAAGCTGGGGGGTAGAGGGGGGGTAAGGTGATCACCGACCCCGGCCCGGAGCCCCCCGCGGAGGCCCCGCCACCCAGGAGCTCCGCAGCGCCCCTCAACTGCACGACCCACCATCTACCGGCCGCCCAAGCCCTGCCCAGGCCCGATTCTTCCCTCTCCGTCCGTTCCTCCTCGTAAACCCGGCTAGAGGAAGTTCGAGCCCCTCCCGCCCCCGCTGCTTCCCGAGTCCGGATCCGCTCACTCGCGCTCGGGTCCCCAGGTGGTTCTACTCCGGCTCCCCGCCCAACAGGCCACGCGGAAATCCTGGCCCCGCCCACCTTCCCGCAGAGAGCCAATCACGGCCAATTGAATCTCCCCGCCCCTAGGCACTAACCCCGCCTCCAACTCCGCCCCCAAACCATAGCCCCGCCTTCCAAGCACCCCTCAGGGCTGAGCCCCACCCAATGGTGTTTCCCCTCCGGGCGCTGTGCAGGCTACTAGCCCCGCCCCGTTGTGGTTTCTCGGCCTGGCTCCTCCCCCACGTGTTATCCCCGCCCACCTGCCTCTTGGCCCCGCCCCGGGGCCCGGAGCTGGCTCCCCCCGCCCCAGCCCCGCTGGCGTCCAGGCCTGCGCTGTCCACTCCGCGCCCGGCCCCGCTCCCGGCCCCCTGGCTTCCCCGACGTCCCTTTCCGCTAAAAGAATTAGGAGTTATTACTCACCCTGGCCTCCCGCGGCCTGGGCACCGGGGAGTGGTTTATTCATTGCCGCCCGCCCGCCCGCACCCCGCGCGGTTCCTTCCCGCTTTCCTCTCGTTCCTCTAACCTGAGCTCCCACGTTTCCCGGCGGAAGCGGGCGAGCCCGCGGAAGAGGATGAGGGTGGGCAGGCCCCAGATCCCCAGCCCCCTCCACCCAGCCCAGCCTCCCCCGGATCCCACCCCGGGTCCCAGCCCCTCCCTCCACCGGGGGGGGGTCCCATCCCCATTCCCCCCCAGGGTCCCAGCCCCTCCCTCCACCGAGAATCCCATCCCCAGATCCCCAGCTCTCCCCCCCCATCCCAGCCTCAGATCCCCACTGGGAATCCCATCCCCAGATCCTCCCCCCCATCCCATCCCCAGATCCCCCAGCCCCTTCCGTCCCATCCCAGCCTTCCCCTGGATCCCAGTCCCTCCCTCCACCCGGGATCCCTCCCCCAGCATCCCAGCCCCAGCCCCCCACCCCTCATCCCAAGGTCCCAGTCCCCCCCGGTGCTGTACACACTCTGCCCTCCCTTAACTCTCAAAAGTGGCGAGGGGGCGTCCAGCAGAATAGCGAACACGGGCCCCAGCTGGGAGGCCAGAATCGGTTTCCTCAACCTCTCCTTACCTAAGGAGTTCATGGAGTGTCACATTGCAATAGGCTTTTAGAGCGCCAAGGAGGCCTACCAGGTGATGGTCCTCCCTAGACGCCACACTCCCTAGATGCCCGCCGCTGCTCTGCTGATAGCCTGCTTAGAGCACCTATGTGCCACAGAGCCAAGATCTTTTAGTGTGTGGAGGGGAGGGAGTTGCTGAGAACCGAACTCCTACCCACATGCTTACTCCCCAGCTCATTAGCTCCCCTCCCCCCTCAGCCCAGGTAGTGCTGCCGGCCCTTACCTGGGATGCAGGTGGAAATCCACAGTAGCTGTAGCAGCAGGCACTTCATGGTCCCTGCTCCCGCTTTCCTGTACGGTTCCGGTAGGGCTCAGAGAGACAGTTTTGTGGCCCCAGGGTTCCTCCCAGCCTTTGAAGCACTGGCCTCACTCCTCTCCCACAAAACTTCCCTTTCCTGGGGTTACTTACAGCTGGCCAGCCCCATCCAGCATGGCTATGTCCTGACTCATGAATTGAGGTCACAGCTTGTGTCATCAGACTGTCTAGGTTCACCTCCCCAAACCCTCTCTTCCTCCTCAACTGTGTGACAAACCTTGTCTAGAGAAAGATTACTCAATAACATAAGGATTCGTGTTAATTCTGTGAGAGGAGAAGATAGCCTTGAGGTTGAGTTAAAAAAAACCAAAACCAGCTGTCATTATCACTTCGAGAGAGAGGATCTGAAACTTGATGAGGTGCCAAAATAGCTGTCAACTGCCTTGAAACAATTCAGTCCCCAGAGAAGGGACCACCTAACATGGTGGGGAAAGCATTGTGGCTTAGTAAAGGAGATTGTTTTTGCTTCAAGAAATAAGACATTCCGTGAAGTATTTAGGTATGAGTGATATTAGTGTCTACTTTTAAATCCTTTAGAAGAAGAAAAATGCAAAACAAACAAAGCTGAGCATGGTGGTGCCTGCCTGTGATCCCAGCACTGAAAAGATTGAGGCAAAGAGGGAGCTGGATGCTCGGCTGGGCTGAGATCCTGTCCTCAAATGAATGAGAAGGAAGGGAGGGAGGGAAGAAGGGGGAGGAGAGAAAGAGGAACAGAAGAGGAAAAAGAAGAAGGAAAGCCGGTTGCCAGTGGCTCACGCTTGTCATCCTAGCTACTCAGGAGGCTGAGATCTGAGGATCATAGTTCAAAGCCAGCCTGGGCAGGAAAGTCTGTGAGACTCTCATCTCCAATGAGCCACTCAAAAACCAGAAGTGGCGCTGTGGCTCAAATGGTAGAGCACTCACTTTGGGCTTGAAGAGCTCAGAGTTCAAGCCCTAGAATCAGCCAAAAAATCTGTCAGAACTAGAAGGGAGGGAAAAAATAAAATAGTAAAATGCCAAAGATAAAATAGTCTGTGTTTCTTGATACATCCGGCCAATCAGAGCAGTGTCACACTTGGAAAATGCTTGGAATAATAGCTGACCAAAATAGGAACGCATTCTTGCAGCCTTTACCAAGGATCGACTTTGTGCTAGACACTCATCTGAGGGTTGGGGACACAGCAGGAAACAGCAAAGCCACCACCCCAGTGGAGCTGAGGGTGGAAAGTTGATTTTTGTTATCTAATCTTTCCCTGTCAGCGATAAACAAAGCTGGGGAAACAAAGCAGGCTGAAAGGAGGTAATGGGGTATAAGGAGGTAGAGGGGGAGCTGTTTTAGGTGAGGCAATCCAGAGGGCTCCCCATCTCCCCCAACTCCAAGCAGATGGCTTTTTTTTTTCCCAGTCCTGGGGCTTGAACTCAGGGCCTGGGCACTGTCCCTGAGTTTCTTTTGCTCAAGACTAGCGCTCTACCACTTGAGCCACAGCCCTACTTACTGCTTTTTTTCCGTGTATGTGGTATTGAGGAATTGAACCCAGGGCTTTACTCTACCACTAAGCCAAATTCCCAGCCCAGCAGGTGACACTGAACAGAGAAGGAAGAAGTCTGGTGGACCTGAAGGACAACCTTTCCAGGAAAAAGGAGCAGCCAGTGCAAAGGCCCTGAGGTAGAATATGTGATGAAATCTGGGCTCAGGGTGGCTGATGAGTAGCTACTTAAACAGGAATAATTAGCCGTAAGCTGATAATTGTGTGTGTGTGTGCACGCGTGTCTGGGTATGTGCACTTGTGCCAGTCCCAGGGCTTGAACTCTGGGCCTGGGCGCTGTCCCTGAGCTCTTCAAGCTCAAGGTGAGTGCTCTACCACTTGAGCCACAGCGCCACTTCCAGCTTTCTGAGTGCTTTATTGGAGATAAGAATCTCATGGGCTTTCTTGCCTGGCTGGCTTTGAACTGTGATCCTCACATCTCAGCCTCCTGAGTAGCCAGGATGACAGGCATGAGCCACGGGCGCCTGGCATCATCCTTACGATTCTTGCTACAGCCATGGGGCATAGTACAGACTCAGTAAAAAGGTAACCACCAGGGTGGTTGTGTGGCTCCAGCTCTGGACTCTGAGCCTGTGTTTGCCCTTCCTGGAGTGACGGGGAAACGGCACACACGTCATGGGGTCTGAAGTCACACTGATGTGGGCCACTGGGGCTGAGTCACCACGAGCGAAGGTGGACCTCAGTCCTAGAAGCCTCTGCCTTCTGCCTCTGCTTCTATGGAAAAGTGCGTCCCTTCCTGTGCTGGGCAGGAAGAGGGAAGAAGAGGCCAGTGATGTGACAGGGAAAGGAGGAGGAGCGGGGTGTGGATGGTGCAGGCAGGTGTGGAGCCCCCCACTCAGCTCCCGCTCCCCTGGTTCTCCCACCAGTCACATGGATCTGGGGTGGGTGGGAGGAACGAGGACTGGGATTTGGTGGTGCAGGGGCTTGGGTTGGGGAGGGGGGGGTGAGTGGGTGTGTTTCCGCGCAGGCGCAGTTCCCACTTCCGGTTGCGATCTCATGACTTTTTTGGCACATTTTCCTCTTTTATTTAAAGAATGACGAATGTTTCCTGGAATCGTTTCACCCTGCCTCGGATGTCTCTGACTTCTCACATCCCTTCTCTCCTCTTCTGTGTCAGTCTGTCTTCATTCTTCTCCTTGGCTCCTGTTTCCTTCACAAATTCTCTCTCTCTCTCTCTCTGTCTCTCTCCCCCTCTCCCCTCCCTCCCTCCTTTTTTTGTATGGCCAGCACTGGGGCTTGAATTCCTGCCCTTACTTGGCTCTTTCCATTTAGGCTAGTGCTCTACCATTTGAGCCACAGCTCCACCATCTGACTTTTTTTGCTGGTTCACTGGAGATAAAAGTCTTTTTTTTTTTTTTTTTGGTCAGTCATGGGGCTTGAACTCTGGGCCTGGGCGCTCTCCCTCAGCTCTTCAGCTCAAGGCGAGTGCTCTACCGCTCCAGCCACAACGCCACTTCTGGTTTTCTGAGTGGTTTATTGGAGATAAGGGTTTCACAGACTTTCCTGCTCAGGCTGGCTTTGATTTTTTTTTGGGGGGGGGTCCAGTTGAACTCTGGGCCTGGGCGCTGTCCCTCAACTCTTCAGCTCAAGGCTAGCGCTCTACCACTTGAACCACAGCGCCACTTCTGCCTTTTTTTTCTGCTTATGTGGTGCTGAGGAATCGAACCCAGGGCCTCATGCATGCAAGGCAAGCGCTCTACCACTGAGCCACCTTTCCAGCCCCTCAGGCTGGCTTTGAACCGTGATCCTCAGATCCCAGCCCTCAGCTGAGTCTTTTTGCGGCCTGCATTTATTTTCTGCTTTGGCCTCTCCTATATGTCTGTCTCTCTGCCTCTGTCTCTCTCTGTCTCTGAGTCTCTCTGGCAGTTTCTGACCCCACCTCTGTCTCCCATGACTCTACCCTTGCAGGCTTCTTCTCCCTCTCGGGACACGCACCTGTAAGTCCTGGTGACATGTGGAAGGCGGGGATGGGTTGGTGTCAGGGCCGGGGCACTGGCAGAGAAGCAACAGGAATGTTCCTTTCTGCTTTACTTTGACTCACCTGGGCCTCACCCACCTCCTGGCCTCAGGCTGTGCTGGGATCAAGCCCAAGAGTTTCGGGGGACCTCTTGGGCTTGAGGGAGGTAGGATTTGTGCAGAAGCAGGAGAGACAGAGGAGGGGTGTGTGTGGGGGGGGAGGACAGAATGCCAGCTGCAAAGACAAGAAGCCAACAACAATGGTCCAGAAGGAAGAGGATAGAACAGATATGGGTCAGAGGCAGTGGGGGTGCGGGGCAGGGGAGGAAAGACGGCTGGAGAATTGGATTTGTTTATTTCCAATGAACTTCTCAAAAAAAAAAAAAAGCTGGAAGTGAGCTGGGAATGTGGTTCAGTGGCAGAGTGCTTGCCTAGCATGCATGAAGCCCTGGGTTTGATTCCTCCATATCATACACTCACACACAGAAAAAGCCAGAAGTGGTGCTGTGGCTCAAGTGGTAGAGTAGCTAGCCTTGAACCAAAGAACCTCAGGGACAGTGCCCAGGCCCTGAGTTCAAGACCCAGGATCAACACATACAACAACAAAAAAAGACCAAGAGACCCACGCCAGAGAGGGCTGAACTTTGTGGCTCATCCTGTCTTCTGCCTCCCAGGTAGCTGGAATTCCAGCTACCTGGGAGGCAGAAGACAGGAGGATAGTGAGGGTTTTGTGTGTGTGTGTGTGTGTGTGTGTGTGTGTGTGTGTGTGTGGAGCAGTCCTGAGGCTGGATCTCGGGGCCTGGGCACTGTCCCTGAGCTTCTTTTGCTCAAGGCTAGCGCTCTACCACTTGAGCCACAGCACCATTTCAGGTTTTCCAGTGGTTAATTGGAGCTAAGAGTCTCATAAACTTCCTTGCCTGGGCTGGCTTTGAACTGTGATCCTCAGATCTCAGCCTCTTGAGTAGCTAGGATGACAGGCGTGAGCCACCAGCCCCTGGTGAGATCCTCCTGTTTCAACTTCCTAAATGTTGGAATTATAGGCATGGCCCACCACACCAGACTACATTCTTTAGATGCCACCTGGTTTATAGAACTCTGCCATAGCAGCCCAGACTGACAGAGACAGGTGGCTCTGCTCACGTGTCTAGGCCCTCAGCCAAGATGGTAGGGGCGGCTGGGTGCCAGCGGCTCACACCTGTCATCCTATCTACTCAGGAGGCTGCGATTTGAAGCCAGTTTGGGCAGAAAAGTCCCCATGAGACTCTTCAATTAACCACTCAAATACCAGAAGTGGCGCTGTGGCTCAAGTGGTAGAGCGCTAGCCTTGAGCACAAAGAGGCTCAGGAATGGCACCCAGGCCCTGAGTTCAAGCCCACAACTGACCCCCAAAAAGATAGCAGGGGTATTGGCAGCTTCTCCATGGAAGCCATGTTTTCCTAATCTGCAGACACTGGCCTGGGGCTCACTCTCACAGTGGTGAAAGGGTCCTGGTGCAGCTTGGTGTAACTTCTTGAGATATTGGCTCAGAATCCCTGCCACATTAGAAATACCACTGGTGGCCAGCTCCACCCTGTTCACAGTTCTCAGAGGGTTGGGGCAAAAATCAAACAGGAAGCTGGGAACCAGTGGCTCACACCTGTAGTCCTAGCTACTCAGGAGGCTGATAGCTGAGGATAGCAGTTCAAAGCCAGCCTGGGCAAGAAAGTCTGTGAGACTACCAAAAAGTGGAGGTATGGCTTAAGTGAGAGAGTGCCAACCTTGAGCACAAAAGCTCAGGGACAGCACTCAAACCTTGAGTTCAAGTGCTAAGACTGGCACCAAAATTAAAAAAAAAATGCTGCAAGATTTGAGGCTCCATCGGGTTGCTGAAATGCTGAGAAAACAAACCCTTGTCTAGGGGAAGTATACATTGTTACAACACTCTGGAAGGCAATTTCAAGTGTTCTCAGAATTACAAACTCAGGAAATCTTTTGACATGGCAAAACCCCTAAAGTTGAGTGAGGTAATGCCTGCACTTTGGAGGCTGAGGTAGGAGGATTGTGAGTTGGAGGCTGGCCTGGGTTACAAAGTACAATCCTGCCTCAAAAGAAAAAAATCAACACCAGCAGCAAGAACTATAATTTGGAGAGAGGAGAACCAGGAGGAAGTGGAAAGGGGACAAGAAGTGAGTGCTGGATGAAAAGAGCAAAGAAGCTGAGCGCTGGTGGCTCAGGCCTGTCATCCTAGCTACTCAGGAGGCTGAGATCTGAGGATCGCGGTTGAAAGCCAGCCCAGCCAGAAAGGTCTGTCAAACTCTTATCTCCAGTGAGTCACCAGAAAACCAGAAGTGGCGCTGTGGCTCAAATGGTAGAGCGCTCCCTTTGTGCTGAAGAGCTTGGGGACACCGCCCAGGCCCACAACCGACAAAGACAAGACCCTAAAAGCCGGCCTGGCTCCCAAGGCCCCGCCCCCAGGACACATCTAAGCCCCGCCCCTCCCCCGGCTCGCCACGCCCACTGACGTCACTGTTGCATTATGAGTCAAAGCCTGGCTGACCAATCAGCTGCCACTGGATCATACAATGGGTCCTAGCAACCGAGTGTGACGTGGGGCTCACAGGGGTGGAGACCCCACCTGTGGGGCGAGTGTGAGGGCAGAGGGAGAGCCTGCAGGGCAGGTGAGTCCCCGCGGCCAGGGCTGGCCACCTGCGCCCTGCTGGTGGGTGCGCACAGTCCGGAGGGCTTGGGAAGGACGCAAACCTGACCCCTCAGCTCTAATTCCAACCCCAAGGCCACTGACTGCCACTGTCTGCCCCCTTGCTGCCAGGACCTTTCCCAGGCCTACTGAGGTGGGTTAGGGAGCGGTGTGGGAGGGGGTGGAGAGAGCTGGCTGAGGGAAATGTCCCTCAACCTGGTGGGGGGGAGGGTCACCCAGGGTGGCTGGGGCTCAGGAAAAGCTTCCACAAAGTCACAGACCATGAAAGAATACTGATCCGGGTGGTGATGCTAAAAACTGAGCACCTACTATGTACCAGGCACTGGGTTTTGTTTTTTTGTATGTGTGTGTGTGTGGTTTTTTTTTTTTTTTGGTGGTTTTTGTTGTTGCTTGTTTTGGGTGGTACTGGAATTTGAACTCATGATTTCACCCTTAAGACGTACTCTCCCACTGACGGCCACTTACGTAGTCATGTTTGTTTTAGTTATTTTTCAGATAGGGTCTAGCACACTCCCATTTTGAGACACAATTCCACCTCTGGTTTCTTTTTTTCTTTCCTTTATTTTTTGGTCAGTCCTGAGGCTTGAACTCAGGGCCTTGGCACTGTCCCTAAACTCTTTTGCTCAAGGCTAGCGCTCTACCACGTTGAGCCACAGTGCCACTTCTGGTTTTCTTTTTTGTTTTTGTTTTTTGTCGACTGTGGGGCTTGAACTCTGGGCCTGGGCACTGTCCCTCAGCTCTTCAGCTCAAGGCTAGCGCACTACCACTTGAGCCACAGCGCCACTTCCAGCTTTTTCTTCTTATGTGGTGCTGAGGAATCAAACCCAGGGCTTCATGCATGCAAGGCAAGCACTGAGCCACTTTCCCAGCCCCTCCCCCCTTTAAAATTTTTTTTTTTCTTTTTAGTTAATTGGAGATAGGATTCTCACGGCCTTTCCTTCTCCAGATAGTTCTGAATTGAGATCCTCAGATCTCAGCCTCCTGAATAGCTAGGATTATTGGCATGAGCAACCAGCTCCCAGCTTTATTTTAATTTTCTGTGTGTGCTGTCCTTCAGCTTGAACTCAGGGCCTAGTCAATGTCTCTGAGCTTCTTTGGCTCAAGGCTACGCTCTATCTCTTAAGCCACAGCCTCCCGTCCAGTTTCTGGTAGTTCATAGGAGATTAGAATCTCACTGACTTTCCTGCCTGGGCTGGCTTTGAACCACGATCCTCAGATCTCAGCCTGAGTAGCTAGGATGACAGGTGTGAGCCACCGACACCTGGCCAGGGTATTATTAAGTCAATAATTGGGGCCTACTGAAGCCAGGCACTGGTGGCTCATGCTTGTCATTCTAGCTACTCAGGAGGCCGAGATCTGAGGATTGTGGTTCAAAGCCAGTTTGGGCAGGAAAGTCCATGAGACTCTTAATCTCCAACAAACCACCAGCAAACTGGAAGTGGTGCTGTGGCTCAAGTGGTAGAGCGCAAGCCTTGAGCTGAAGAGCTGAGGGTCAGTGCCCAGGCCCAGAGTTCAAGGCCCAGGACCGACACACACACACACACACACACACACACACACACAAAGCACACTGGCATGGAGGAGCTTCCTGGGTTACACAGCAAGTTAACCACCTGGGCCACGTGTCCCCCAAGTTTCCTGTCCCACATTAAGACCCTCTCCCCTACCCGTCCTTTCTTCCCCAGACGCAGACTCTCCCTGGGTGTCCACCCAGTGCTCTGACCCCACTGGTCACCATGGCTACGTCCAAGTTGCCCTCGGTGTCTAGCGATGAGGACACCACCATTCTCATGACCAAGGAAGAGCTGGAGGCCCTGCGTACAGCCTTCGAGTCCGGCGACATCCCGCAGGCCGCGTCTCGCCTCCGGGAGCTGCTGGCGTCCACGGAGAGCACCCGGCTGGAGGTGGGCGTCACGGGCGAGTCAGGAGCGGGCAAGTCGTCCCTCATCAATGCCTTGCGTGGCCTGGGGGCTGAAGACCCCGGTGCGGCGCTCACTGGGGTGGTGGAGACCACGATGCAGCCCTCACCTTACCCACACCCCCAGTTTTCTGATGTCACCCTGTGGGACCTGCCAGGGGCCGGGTGTCCAGGTTGTCCAGCTGATAAATACCTGAAGCAGGTGGACTTTGGGCGGTATGATTTCTTCCTTCTGGTGTCCCCCCGGCGTTGCGGGGCCGTGGAGACCCGCCTGGCCTCTGAGATCCTCCGCCAGGGCAAGAAGTTTTATTTCGTGCGTACCAAGGTGGACGAGGACCTAGCCGCCACCCGCACTCAGAGGCCCTCGGGCTTCAGCGAGGCTGCTGTGCTGCAGGAGATCCGGGAACACTGCTCTGATCGCCTGCGGGCAGTGGGTGTGACCGATCCCCGCGTCTTCCTCGTGTCTAACCTCTCCCCAGGCCGCTATGACTTCCCGTTGCTCGTGGCCACCTGGGAACATGATCTCCCGGCCCATCGGCGCCATGCCGGCCTCCTGTCTCTGCCCGACATCTCGCTCGAGGCCCTGCAGAAGAAAAAAGACATGCTGCAAGAACAGGTACTGAAGACGGCCTTGGTGTCCGGGGTCATCCAGACCCTGCCCGTGCCCGGCCTGGCCGCTGCTTACGATGATGCTCTCCTCATCCGCTCCCTGCGTGGGTACCACCGCAGCTTTGGCCTGGACGACGACTCGCTGGCCAAGCTGGCCGAGCAGGTGGGCAAGCAGGCGGGCGACCTCCGCTCCGTCATCCGCTCCCCGCTGGCCAATGAGGTCTCGCCGGAAACCGTCCTGAGACTCTATTCCCAGTCATCCGATGGCGCCATGCGGGTGGCCCGTGCCTTTGAGAGGGGCATCCCCGTGTTCGGGACCCTGGTGGCCGGGGGCATCAGCTTCGGCACCGTGTACACCATGCTGCAGGGCTGTCTCAACGAGATGGCCGAGGACGCACAACGTGTGCGCATCAAGGCCCTGGAAGAGGACGAATCCCAGACAGCAGAGGTCAGCTTGGAGGCAGCTGGTGACAGTAGTGTGGACAAGCGGGGACCCGCGGAAGGGGGTAGTGAGGACGCCCCGCTCTCCACCCGCAGGAAGCTGGGCCTTCTTCTCAAGTACATGCTTGAAAGTTGGAAGAGACGCGACTTGTCAGAAGAGAAATAAAAGTGCAGCCCCACCCCCACCCCTCAGCCCCACTCCAAGCCTTAAAACCAACCTGCAATCAAACTGAGCCAATGTCATTGTTGTTTTTTTTTGGTGGTGGGGGTGGGAAGAGATATGTGGGGAGATCATCTGGCTGGGTAAGGGGGTCACATATTTGTGGGTTTTTTTTTTTTGGTCAGTCATGGGGCTTGAACTCTGGGCCTGGGCGCTGTCCCTGAGTTCTTCAGCTCAGGATGAGTGCTCTACCACTTGAACCACGGCGCCACTTTGGGTTTTCTGGTGGTTCATTGGAGATAAGAGTCTCACAGCCTTTCCTGTCCAGGCTGGCTTTGAACCTCAATCCCTAGATCTCAGTTTCCTGAGTAGGATTACAGGCATGAAGCACCAATGCCTGCGGGGTCACAGGTTGAATGGGGTAGGAACTGAGGGGGGGGGAGGAGGGGAAGGCGGGGGGGGGCGGGGTGTGTTTTGTGTGTGGGAAAGTCATGGTATGGCACTGGGTCCAGGACACTTCAGTGACAGCCCCTGATGATCTCCGTGCCAGGACAGCACAGGCCTGGTGCCAAGATGAGAAGTCACAGCTCACCGGCTTCAGTGTTTCAGTGGCAGTGTTTTCTGGAGCTTGTAGGATGGGACAAGAGGCTTGGGGGGGGGGGGGAGGGCGGAGAGCTCTGTGCACTATCTGACCTGACAGGTGGTTCTAGCTGCACCCAAGGCTGGATTTGGGGTGTTGAAGTTGAGCAGGGCAGGCCCTGCCTGGATACTGGTGGGGAGGGGGTTCAGTTCCCATGGGGATGGGGGAGGGGAGGGAGGAAAACTCCATCCCATTTCCCAGGATGCGGCTGCATGTGAGTGTGAGGAAAGGCGCACGAACAGGCTTGCACAACTGTGTTTATTTGCACTACCAGATGGTCCCCCCCCCCAGCTCAGAGCTGGCCATCCGCCTCATCTCCAGAGCCGGCCGGGGCCTCCCCTGTCAGGCCCGGGGCCACTCCCTGCTGGCCCCATGGGGCTCAGGGTGGGCTGCTCCATTCAGGCTGGGGTGCGATGTCTCCAGTCACCCCCTGAGCAGCCGACCCTCCCCCCTGGCCCTCTGATCTTCTCTGGGCAGGGGCGTCCGGCCGCCTAGCCGCTGCTCTGTCCGCGTGCACTGCTCCCTGGCCATCCACCGGGGACCCCCCCGTGCGTCCCCACACCGCGTCCTCCCTGGGTCTCAGGCCAGCAGGCGGCTGTACTCTGCCAGGGCGGAGGACTTCTTCACCCCGTCCCAAATGCGGGCGGCGTAGTGGAACCTGCAAGGAGTCAGGGGTGATCAGGATGAACTGGACCACCCAGGACCCACGCATGCCCAGCACAGGCCCCAGAGTGGGAAACTGAGGCCCATGTCCAATCCAGCATGACTCGGTTGCCTGGAAGCCCCTGACACAGGGACACACAGATGCTCATCTGAAGGTGCCAGGTGTACACGTGGACCCCCAAGCCACACCTGGAGGCCGTGTCCCCCACAAACACCCAGTGTGCCTCCCGCACCCCGCCCCAGCTCAGCCCCTGGTTCCCAATCTTCCTCCTCCTCGGAGGCGTCCAGGACCCCACTTGCTCTGGGCCCCAGACACGGATGCCCAGTGGCACAGGGGGCTGGGGTGGGCGCAGGGGAGGGGGCAGGGGGAGGATTATGAGGGACACCGCTGACTGCAGCTTCCGTGCAGCTCTGCCATCCAGAATGAGAAACCGACCTTCACACTTCACCAGGCGTCCTGGGCCTGCTCCCAGCTAAGTGGCACCTAACGGTGTGAAGGTGGGTGACTTCGCTGTGACATTTTCTTGGAGCCTAACTTTCCCCTAGAAACATCTGATGACCTAGAGTGCTGGCTCCTCAGGACTGGAAGTGCCTGGGGGCAGCCGGTTGTCTGCAGGATAGGGGCCTGTGGGACAACAGCCAGCTCCACTGTTCCAGAAAGTTCCAGAAACGTAAGGTCAGTTACACAAAGTCCTCCCTATGCAGACTCTTACTTTTTTTTTTTTTTTTGTCAGTCATGGGACCTGAGCTCTGGACCTGGGCACTACCACTGAGCTCTTTAGCTCAAGGCGAGCGCTCTACCACTTGAGCCACAGCACCACTTCTGGCTTTTTCTATGTATGTGCTGCTGAGGAATTGAACCCAGGGTTTCATGCATGCTAGGCAAGCACTCTACCACTGAGCCACCTTCCCAGCCCTCTTACCAGTTCTTCTCGGTGAGGATGGTGTGGGACAGCTGTGGCCGAGCCATGGACATCACCTGACTCCGGAGCTTGCTCACCAAGGACTGGAAACTGGGGTGGCCCCGGTACCCAGGCAGCAGGGAGAAAAGTGGGCTGGAACCAGGCCCTGGAAAATTGGGGTGTGCACCTCTGAGTTCAGCCCTAGGCCAGCTCTTTGGAACTCTGAAACACGCCCCTAAGAAAGGGCCCCCAAACGCCTTGGGGACAGGCCCACCCCTCCCACCATGGCCCAGCTGCCCCAGAGGGAGTGAGGGCACCTGCTCTGGGCGGGTTCTCGCTCTCTGCCTCGCTGTCCATGAAAGGCACAAGGAACAGGTTGACCTCGGAGTCCAGGAAGTCGGGCGGCAGTCCCGGGAAGACGTTGCATTGGAGCATGGACAGGGTCCCTGCGGGAGGATGTGGTCAGCTTGCCGGTGCTGGGGCTGAGGGGTGGGGGGATGGGGGGACAGGGCATGGGGGGGGGATGTGGGGCTCACCCTTGTACCGCAGGTGGGAGTGGGCCATGAGCTGGTCGATCATCAGGTGCATCTGGCGCAGCTTCCGGGGGCAGAAGTCCTCCCGACGAGCCTTGTTCTGCAGAAAGACTGGGGGGGGGGGAGAGGGGGGGGAGGCCACAGGTATGAGGCTGGCCTCTCCTTTACCATTAGGGTAGGGGGGATGAACCAGGGACAAGGCCTGGTTTCTGCAGGAGTCCCCGGGGTGCTGCAGACTGGGGGATGGGGGCGGTGGGAGGGGAGAGGAGCAAGGGGGGGAGGGGAGGTCCTGCCAAGGGGAGGTCAGGAAAAAGCACTTGGCCCAAGAATAGTGGAGAAGGTGGGGCCAGGAGGAGAAACCCACTAGGTCACCCCAACACCCACTTCCCTGTCAGCAGCCTATACTACAGGCAGGACCAGCAACAGGCAGACATGGTCATGTCCCCTTCTGTGCAGGGACCCGCACCCAGACTCAGTGGCTTGAGCTGGGCTGCTTCCCTGCCCCCCCAACGCTCCAAAATGCTCCTTCCAGGCTCCCACTCCCTGACCGCCCCCCCTCGTTCCTCCCTCCCTCCCTCCTGCCCCTTCTGGTCTCGAACCAGCTCCTACCTAGGTGTGGGTAGTACTCGGTGCCTTCCTCGGAGCCCGCAGAGCTGCTGGACTCATGGCTGGGCGACGGGGTAGAGGGCTTCACCATCTCCGCCGTTTGCAGGAATCTGGGGTGCAGAGGAGTGGGTGATACTGGGGCACTGTGGCCCCTGCCACCTCCCAGCCCAGATAAGCACCTCACACAATGCTGAGAGGTCAGGCACAGCAACCCCAGAGCAATGCTGGACCAATGAGAACTGTGTGAAACATTTTTTGTTGTTGTTGGTTGTGGGGCCTGAACTCTGGGCCTGGGCGCTGTTCCTGAGCTCTTCTGCTCAAGGGGAGTGCTCTACCACTTGAACCACAGCGCCACTTCCAGTTTTCTGGTGGTTCATTGGAGATAAGTCTCATGGACTTTCCTGCCTGGGGCTGGCTTTGAACTGGGATCCTCAGTCTCTTGAGCTAGGATTGTAGGCTTGTGCCAGCAGTGCCTGCCTCACTCTGGGTGAAAGTGTAAAAGTTCTAAGAGCGTTTACCAGCCCCTCCACCCCCACCCGTTTTTTTCTTCTAAAAGAAAATGAGTGGGCGTGGTGGCATGGCCTCTTGTGGTCCCATTTACTTGGGAGGGTAAAGGTGGGAAGGATGCCTGAGTTCGAGGCTAGCCTAGGTCTCAAAAGAAAAACAAGTTTAAAGTTTTCAAACGGTTGCAGGTTCCCAGCAGGTTGTTTCCGTGCACCCCTTTGCCCTCCGTGCACAGCCCCCAGCCCTGCAAGCAGCATCCCCACGGGGTGCCTGGCTTACAACAGTTGTTGTAACAGTTACCTGCAACAATGTTTCCCCACACCCACAGCTGCCATCAGGGCTCTGTGGTTCTGGCTGGGGACACGGGACCGGATGGTTCTTGCCGAAGGTGTGACTGGGAGGTCACAGCACCCCAGCATAAACTTCCCTCTTTCCTCCCCTGACCACAACCCCTCGCCGTACCACCTTCTCTCCAGTCCTGACCACGCCCCCTGCCATGCCCCGCCCACAAGATTGTTCATGGCCCGCCCCTCACTTAGCCCTGACCACACCCCCTTCAGCCCAACTCTGGCCCCGCCTCCTCGCTGTGCCTCACCTCACCCTAACGCGGGACTCGCCCCTCACCATGCCCCGCCCATTCTCCCCAGCTTTAGCCTGACCCAGCTTATAACTGCACCTTCACCATGCCCCGCCCTCCCCAGCTCTGGCCCCACCCCTAGCCAGGCCCCGCCCCTCGCGGTGTCCCACCCTTCCAGCCCCGGCCACGCCCCTCGCCCCGCCCTGCCTCCGCAGCCCTGGCTCGGTGTCACTCAGGTGGAATGGCGGGCGCGGCCTGCACACTTGGCTTGGTGTTTCAGAGCTGGGGGCTTTGTTCCCCTCGGCACTGCGTGGTGCCCCACTGTCTCAGATACCAGGTCCCCTGCCCAACCACCCAGTCAAAGACATTTATGGGGCTTCCAGGCTTGGCCGTCATGAACAAAGCAGCTCTAAGTACCCACGCTCGCGTCTCCGGATGCGGGATCGGTTTATGCCGTTTCTGGTCACTTCCCCGGGATGGAGAAGGAGACAAGCAGAGCCAGCCGGGATGCGGGCGGACCTGCGCGCGCATGCGCACATATGCACATGCGCTCACACACACACACACACACACACACACACACACACTCCAGCATGACACCCTCCGGGTCCAGGAGCCGCCTGGCTCAAAATCAAGGCTCTTCCCGGCGCCTCCCCAGCTCATCCCCCACCTGTTTTCTTTACCCCTCTTGGCAGCACCCCGCGTGCACACTCAGACCCCGTTGCCACGTGGACGATCCGGGATCCTGGTGTGTGCGTGGCGGTAGGCCATGGTCAGGTCACCTAAACCCCCAGCCCCTCCCTCGCTGCCACCGCTTCCACTGTCACCACACACACAGGAAGCCACACTGCCGGCTGCTCTCTGCTGAGCAACCTGTGCATTGTCCCCACGTCCCACACACCAGTTCTGATGACGAAGAACCTGCAGCCAACCATGCCCCAGCCAGCCAGGATCCTAGCCAGGGCTAGGATTCAAACCTAGGGCCAGCTGACTTATGCGGTATCTACTTCCTAACCTCAGCTTGTCCTCCCTCCCTCCCTCCTTCCCTCCCTCCCTTCCTTCCTCCCTCCCTCCTTTTCCCTCCATCCCCCACTCCCCTTCCTCCTCCTTTTCCTGGGCTCGGGCCTCATTTCATTTCCTACCTGCCCAGAGGGTCCTGGAGACTCCCCCCCTCCCCTTCCTACCCCCCCTCCCCTCACCTGTACAGACTGAGGTCTGTGAACCAGTCCTGGACCACAATCACCACATGGCAGACAGTGAAGAGGAAGGCAGCGATCTGCAGGGACTGCGGCGTGGCAGGAGGGAGGGTAGAGTTGGGGGATGGCCCTGCCCAGACTGGGGACTGATGGCAGGACTCAGCCAGGAGCAGCAGCAGGACCAGGCCTCAGCCCTCTGTGGGCGCTGCGTGCTGGGCTCTCATGGCCCTCTGGGGACCGGTGGGGCAGAGGACTCGAGGCGTGATGTGGCACTCCCACCTGGGCCTCCCTCCAGCCCTTGGGGTACCCTGGCGCCCAGCTCCCCACCACAGCCCGGCACCCCCTCACCTGCATCTCAACATAGGTGTGGGGAAGGTTGTACTCGGGGGGCAGCTTGCGGTCGTTGTTGATGAGGTGGTCCAGGATGGAGGGGCTCAGGATGGGCTGGAGGGAGCAAGGGGCTGAAGGTCACTCAGTGAAGGGAATGGCCCAGGTCAGCAAGGGCCCCGTGCTGAAGACAAGTCCAGGTCCTCTGTGGCCAGACCAGGCCAGAAATGGTACCGGACACAAGGAAGCCTCTCAAAGCCCTTCTGCTCTTCATTGTTCTTCTTGGGGTCTCAATACATTTACCCTTGGGCTGGGAAGGTGGCTCAGTGGTAGAGTGCTTGCCTAGCATACCCGAAGCCCTGGGTTCCATTCCTCAGCACCACATACACAGAAAAAGCTGGGAGTGGTGCTGTGGCTCAAGTGGTAGAGCGCTAGCCTTGAGCACAGGGATAGTGCCCAGGCTCTGAGTTCAAGCCCCAGATCAGGCTTAATAAATAAATTATCCTTCACTGGAGGGTTCCACAGCCCTTAAAGATGCTTTGTGATGTCTCTTGTTTCATAAGCTTTCAAAGCTTTGCTATGATAATTATTTAGGTAAAAAATAGTTGGCTGCTGGGGGTTGGTGGCTCACGCCTATCATTCTAGGTACTCAGGAGGCTGAGAACTGAGGATCATGGTTCAAAGCCAGCCTAGGCAGGAAAGTCCATGAGACTCTTATCTCCAAAGAACCACTCAGAAACTGGAAGTGGTGCTGTGGCTCAAGTGGTAGAGTGCTCGCCTTGGGCTGAAGAGCTGAGCGAGAATGCCCAGAGTTCAAGCCCCAGGACACACACACACACACACACACACACACACACACACACATCACCAATTGTATTAGCAGGAAGCTTGTGAGGATTTCAAAAGGTCATGGGGCACAGAGAGTCCTGCCCTGCCCAGGGCGCCCCGCATGGTTGGAGGACCCCTCAAGGCTCTGACTTAGGTTGCTCATGGACGGGCTGCATGGTGCATGCGGCGGGGGGAGAGGCTGGCACCTGTGTGTCCAGGAACACGATCCGCTCCTGTGTGATGAAGAAGTCGATGCCGCTGGTCTGGTTGCCCCCTCGTTCCTTCATCTCAGCGCTCTGGGCCCGGAACACGTAGGCCCTGTGGAGGGAGGGGGGCAGGGGGGACCTGAGAGTGGTTCCTGACCTCTGCTGCCTGAAGGCTGGAGAGGAGAGAGGAGTGGGGTCCTGGCCTGCCCATGTGGCCTCCCTATGGGACCTGTGCCTGGGAGCTACTTTACACCCCACACTTCATTCCTGCCACTCAGCCATCAGAGCCCGGCCAGGGAGGTGCTTAAGAGCGGGAGGCAAATAGAATTTGTGTGTATCCTGGTCCTGGGGCTTGACCTTGGGGCCTGGACGCTGTCCTTGACCTTTTTCCCTCAAGGCTGGCACTCTACTACTTGTCCCACAACCCCACTTCTGGCTTTTGTAGTTTATTTATTTATTTTGTGGTTAGTTGGAGATAAAAGAGTCTCCCAGACTTTCCTGCTCTGGCTGACCTCAAAACATAATCCTCAGATCTCAGCGTCCTGGATTACAGGCATGCACACTAGTGCTCCTATTTTCTGCATCTCCCCCTCCCCGCTCCCCCATCCTCCTCCAGTACCCATCAGAGCCAGGGAAGGGTGGCAACTTCCCAGAAGCCTTTGGCAATAGCCTCCTGAGCTGCTCCCCCCATCCCCCCCCCCGCCCCGGGGTCCTGCCTCCCCTTGGCCTCCCCCCACACCCTGTACCCCCTCACCTCTGATCTTCCTCTGGCGTGTTGCCTGACAACAGGGACATCACCATGGACTTGCCTGTCCCCTGGAGACCCAGGACCCCGACCACTAGCATGTCGGTGTGATCCAGCAGGTACTGTGGGTGGGGAGACGAGGGGACCATGACCCTCACAGCCAGGGGCTAGGGTCAGGGTGATGGGGGGGGCAGCAGAGGAGTGTATGCCTTGTCCACCTGCTTTATTAGATAGTAAAGACAAATGTCCACGGACTCAAGCCCTCATTTGTAAAGAGGGAATATTCTGGCCCAAGGCAGGAAAGAGGATGCTGTGCTCCAGAATCTGTGGAACAAGAGGGGAGGAGGAGGGACAGAGGAGGGGGACAAAGGGGACAAGGAGGGGGAGGTCGGCGGAGGGGACCATGATGATTGTGGGAATCAATGAGCGGGCATAGGGAAGTGGGCAGACTCCAAGAAGACAGGCCTGGGAAAGGAAGGGTCCCAGGGCAGCCGCCTGGCAGGCCCTCCCTACTCCAGGTGTCCGGGCACAGGGACAGAGCCAGCCAAGGAGAGTGCTGAGCACATCTAAGCCCCACCTGGGGCTCTGAAGAGGCTTTTGGCCTCTGAGTCACCTGCACTGCTGCCAGCCACCACCAGGGGGCGGACGAGACACACCTCCAGGCTATTGGCTCCACTCATTAGTATCAACAGAACTTTAATAATGATGATGATGATAATAATAATCAGAGGCATGACCAAGCATGGCAGGTGGTTGTGCACCTGCCGAACAAGCTTGAGGCCAGCCTAAAGTCGGGAGTGCAACTGTCTCATTCGGATTTTTGTTGTTGGTGGTCATGGGGCTTGAACTTAAAAGGCCTGGGCACTGTCCCTAAGCTATTTTGCTCAAGGCTAGCGCTCTACCACTCGGAGCCACAGAGCCACAGAGATAAGAGTCTCATGGACTTTCCTGCCCTGGCTGGCTCTGAACTGTGATCCTCAGATCTCAGCCTCCTGAGTAGCTAGGATGACAGGTGGGAGCCACCAGTGTCCAGTTCCAGATTTTTTAAGCCCTTAGTGATATGAACACAGAGCCAGCGGGGTAGGCAATTTGAGGGGTGGCATGCTGTCCTGGTTAGGTCAGGCCACACTTCCAGGAAGAAAAAGCAGGATGGGGAGGCAGGTGGGCTGCTCCAGGAAGGACAGGGGAAAGCGGGGAGCCCCTGCCAAGGGATGGTTTGGGGGGGGGTCCACAGAGCATCTGGAATGGGAGGGAGAGCACCTTCTTTGCTTTCTCTCTCCCTCTCTCTTTCTCTTTTTTGCCAATCCTGGGGCTTGAACTCAAGGGCCTGGCACTGTCCCTGAGCTTCTTTTGCTCAAGGCTAGTGCTCTACCACTTGAGCCACAGAGCCACTTATGACTTTTTCTGTGTATGTGATACTGAGGAATTGAACCCAGGGCTTCATGCATGCTAGACAAGCACTCTACCACTGAGCCACCATCCCAGCCGCCCCCTACCCCCTTACTCCCCCCTCGCCACTTTTTTTTGTTGTTTTAATTTTGGATAGGGCCTTGCTATGTAGCCCAGGCTGGCCTGGAACTTGGGGTTCTCCTGGATCTCCCTCCCACACACCGGGATTACAGGCATGTACCACTATGCCCGGCTGTGAGAACTCGCAACAGCATGGAAGTGTTTCAACAAGCAGCACAGCTCAGCTTACTCATGGGGGGGGAGGGGGCTCTCCTTGAAGCAGAGCAGCAGGCAGGGTGGGGGACAGGATGTTGGGGGAACAGGGGAGCCAGTACCTCGATGGCACTGTCACACCAGTTCATCTGGTCATCCACCAGCTTGATGCTGTGCTTCATGCGCTCAGGGGGCAGCAGTTTGGCCTGGCCCACGACAGCTGTGGGGAGAGTGTGAGACAGGGTTGTGGTGAGGATCTGCGTGGGGTGGGGTGGGGGGCTTCCAGCCCGGCCCCGCGTGGCCCCCCACTCACGGTCCATGGCGGTGGGGGCGGCCGTGCCCATGCCGCGGTTCTGGATCTGGTACACGGGCTGCGTGGGTCTCTGCCCCTCCTTCTCTCCCTTGGGTGGCGCTGGGGCGGCGGCGGGGGGCGGGGCAGCGCCCTCGGGGGTGGGGGCGCCCGTGGTGGGGGGCCCCTTCCCCTCATCCCGGGCCTTCATGAGCACGATGGGCTTCTCCAGGGGGGCGGGGGCAGGGGGCAAGGCGGGGACCGCAGGTGGGGGCGGCTGCTTGGACTGTGGGGGAGAGAAGGGGGGCAGTAATGAGGGGATCCCCCTGCACCCCGCCCCCTCCTCCTGCACCCCCTGTCCTCAGGGGTCCGCTCACCCGCTCGGCTGGGGGCTTGGACAGGATGATGGGCGTCTTCTGCATGAGGGCCGCGCTCGAGTCCTCACTGGCGTCCTGTGTGGAGGGAGGACAGTCACTCTGCGCCCCCCCCCCCACTGCATGCCGGGCTAACCACCCAGCTTCCCATCGGTCATTGCGGCTCTCCCACTGGACATGGACACAGAGAGGCTCTGGCGCTCTGCAGGGTCACACAGCCAATGTGCCAGAGCTGGGAAGTGACCTATGGGAAAGGGGGGAAGGGGGGACACACGGGGTTTCCCCACCCGGGACACCTGAACTCAGGGCCGGGTCCCTGGGCCCCCTTTTGCTCAATGCTAGCACTCTACTGCATTGGAAGTGTCACGGCTCTGGGACGAGGGGGAGAAAGGGGGTCCTGGGCTGGTGCTGGGCAGTTTGCAGAGGGGTTAAAGGTAATGGGGGGGGTAGGAAGATGAGAAATGGTAGCATTTGTGCTACGGCCTCAAAAGGAGGCACCAGTGAGCGGCCAGCCCCTGTGACCCATTCCTCGTGTTTGTATTTTCACCCCTCAAAAAGGGGCCCGGATGTTAAGGCGCATCTGCCTTGCCCAGCATCTCTGATGTAGGGCAAAGTTCTAGAGAAGAACTGGAGGCACAGCTGGGCATGGTCGTGCATACCTGTAATCCCAGACTGATGAGTTGGAGGCCAAGCCAAGCTACACAGCACTCCTTGGGGTGGGCATGGCTCAGATGACAGAGAGCCGGTTCTAGGCTCAACACCGAATCCTGTAACCCTAGCTCACGCCTTCCAGGAGATCTCGGGAGGCTGAGATCTGAGGGGCTCGGTTCAAAGCCAGGCCAGGCGGGAAAGTCCCTGAGACTCTTCGGGCCAATGAACTTCCAAGAACAGCTCCCAGGTGCACCCCGGCTAACCACATTGTGTGGGACACAATGGGGACAGGAAAGGGGCCCGCTTACCCGCCTCTCTCTCTCCCAAGGTGCAAGGTAGTCTCTCTCCCGGCCGCCAGGCCCGGAGAGATTCTGGGGGCCGATGGAGCCTGGCTCCTTCCACCGCCGCCGCCGCTCCATTCCGTAGAGCCCTGGCTGACTGTGCCCCGACTCCGACATGCTCCCTTAGAGAGCAGAAGCGGGGTCAGGGAGGGGGGCCTCTGGCTCCGCTCAGCTCAGCTGGACCCAGGCTCTTCCAGTCAAGGCGACAGCGGCTGTTCTGATTGGCTATCCCCGTCACATGTGTGGGCGGGGCTAGGAAACGTACCATCCCACATTCAGAAGCTGGTTTGGTTGTTTTTGTTTTTTTTTTTTTCTGTGTGCTGGTCCTGGGACTTGAACTCAGATCCTGGGTGCTGTCCTTTTGTGATCAAGGTTGGTGTTCTACCACTTGAGCCACAGTTCCACTTCTAGCTTTTGGTGGTTCATTGGAGATTAGGGTCTCAGGGACTTTCGTGCCGAGGCTGGCTTTGAACCATGATCCTCAGATCTCAGCCTCCTGAGTAGCTAGGATGATAGGTGTGAGCCACTGGTGCCTGGCTCTGGTCACAATCTATTCCCCATGCTCCGCCCTCCTCGCACTCCCTCTTTCGCTTTAAATATCTCCCCACCCAGCTGGGCTCAAGTGGCTCACACCTGTCATCCTAGCTACTCTGGAGGCTGAGATCTAGACGATCGTGGTTCAAAGCCAACCTGGCCAGGAAAGTCCATGAGACTGTTATCTCCAATGAAGCGACAAAAATCTAGAAATGGAGCTTGTGGCTCAAGTGGCAGAGCACCAGCCTTGAGTGGAGAAAGCTCAGAGACAGTACCTAGGCCCTGAGGTTATATCCAAGTACTGGCACAAAAATAAAAGTCTCATCACCCGTACATAAGGTATTTGGTGATCCGTGGCTGCTTAATAATGTTCAGAGGTCCCTGGGGGGAGCTCCCAGGTGTCTGTGCTTCCTTCTAGAAGGGTCCTTGGACGCTAATTTACTCAGTGACAACCTAGTGGCAGCCAACCTCCAGTTAGCTCAGGTCTATGGGCCACATCTGCTCTTTCCTCTGTTTACCCAGATTACGATTACAAGGTCTGGGGGAAGGGCACCTGGCCACGCCCCCCTCCCTCCAAAGGCAGAGGCAAAAAGTCGAGACAGCATGGCCTGCAGAGCCTACAGTAAGGACTGGGCTCCAGACGGGAATTCCCATCTCATGACCTGTGACCTCTCCCCCACCCACACACTGGGTTGGAGATGGCCTTCAGACACAGACAGAGGAGCCCAAGGCGGGAGCATTGGCCAGTGCTTGTGGACGATGACTCATTCCACACTTAAATGGCTGTTTGCGTCTGGTTGGAGGTAGGGACTCCTTTCCCTGCAATTAAGTGTCTGTTCACCTTCTCTTGACTGCGTAAGTGTCCATTTACACACCCAAGAGGATCCCCTTCCCTGGCCATGAATGTTCCTTGCCACAAGTTTCTGTGATCACTCTCAAGATCTCGGTCTATACCTGGGCACCGGTGGCTCACCACCTGTAATCCTAGCTACTCAGGAGGCTGAGATCTGAGGATCTGAGGATCAAAGCCAGCCTGGGCAGGAAAGTTTGTGAGACTCTTATCTCCCATAAACCACTTGAAAATCGGAAGTGGTGCTGTGGCTCAAGTGGTTGAGTGCTTGCCTTGAGCTGAAGAGCTGAGAGTCAGTGCCCAAGCCCAGAGTTCAAGCCCCACAACCAACAACAACAACAAAAAAGATCTTGGTCTACTTAACAGCCCTGAAGGTAAGCATGTCACATGAATGTCACAGCCCACTGACAAGGCAATCTGGGGACCCCTCAGGGCTGTTTCCCAGCTCCTTTGTGGGATGACCTCCATGAAATTTACAAAGCCAGTCTATTTAAGTGTCTATTTAAATCTAATTTACCTATTCAATTTTTTTTGGGGGGTCCGGTCATGGGGCCTGAACTCTGGGCCTGGGCGCTGTCCCTCAGCTCTTTAGCTCAAGGCTAGCACCCTACCACTTGAGCCACAGTGACACTTCCGGCTTTTTCTTTTTGCTTATGTGGTGCTGAGGAATCGAACCTAGGGCCTCAGGCATGCAAGGCAGGCGCTCTTCCACTGAGCCACCTTCCCAGCCCTACCGCCAATTTTTCTCAGGACTCCAAACACAGAGGCTTCTGGGTGAAGGTGGGGGGGGTGTTCCTACCCTTGGGAATTCACCATTCTAATTTCCGTGGACACACTGCCTGTGCAGGAAATTATTTTTCCAGGTGTGGGGCTTGAACTCAAGGCCTGGGTGCTGTTCCTAAGCTTCTTTTGCTCAAGGCGAGTACTCTACCGCTTGAGCCACAGCGCCACTTCTGGTTTTCGAGTGGTTTATTGGAGATAAGAATCTCACGGAGTATCCAGCCTGGGCTGGCTTTGAACCGCGATCCTCAGATCTCAGCCTCCTGAGTAGCTGGGATGACAGGCGTGAGCCACCGGCGGAGACTTGCGGAGGGCTTGAGCTGCAATCTCTACAAATCTGTGAGCATCTCCCAGGATGGATTTGCACATTGTTTATATCTTTCCCAATCCAAGCTCCCGCCAAACCGACTTTACAGAACCTTACAGAAACCCTGCCCAAAGCTCAGCTCCGGCGGTCACCCCGCCACCCGCCTCCCGCCCACCGCTAAACAGTCGGGGCGTGGTTTGGGGGGGGACGTGCCAATAGCCCCGCCCCGCCCTCGACCACGCCCCCTCGCGCGCGCGCGCCTCTCCCCGGGGCTTCTTACCTAATGCCGGCGCTGATTGGTTTGCTGGGATACGACGCGCGCTCTCCCGCGAGAGGACTGGAGAGGGGGCGGGGCGCTCCCACCAGGGCCCGCCGGCCAAATAAACGGCGTCGGGGCCGATCAAGAGTGCGAAAGAGACCGAAAGAGCGGATCTCCACCACTACGGAACCGACCTTGGCGTCCCGGAAGCGACACCTAAGGAAGAGATTCCGCTTTCGGCCGAGTAGAAATCAAGTCCTGGCTCCTGCGCATGCGCTGCGGCCTAGGCGCGCGAGAACCGTCCCTCGGGCCCCGCGGGAGCAGGCGCCGAGGAGGGCTGTCTTCGGGGCGCTTGCGCCTCTCGGAGCAGAGGCGGGAGCGCGCCGCTGTGCGCAATGCGCCTGCGCGGCGGCGGGGCGGGGCCCTGGAGATGACGTCGGCAGGCTGGAGTGAGCACGGAGAAATTTCCCTGTCCTGTACGGAGTGATGACTGAAGATTCAGGAATGGTTTAACCTGACCTGTGTCCTGGAAGGGGTCCCAGCCAGTGCTGGCAATCAGCCCGGGGTCAAATCACTTCGGGAAGGGACTTCAAAGTGTTGATCGACAGGGAGGGACCCTCCAATCGGAGGTCCAAGCGTGGCCTGAGGACCCCCTCCTCCTGGGATGCATGTCCCCCCTCTTCTCCCTGGGACGCAAGGCCTCCCCTCTTCCCCCTGAGATGCATGATTGGGCAGCCGAGGTGGGTTAGCCAGATCCCTAACTGATGAAGACACGCGTGCTGGGGCAACCCCACGTAATAAATCTCTTTGAGTCTCGGGGAGGAGGCGGCCAGTCAAAGGCGGGAAAATTCAAAACAGCTCCGAGGCACAGCCGTGCCAGGTGCGGCCTGAAGAGGGCGCGCGCGCGCAGCCACGGAGGGGGTGGGGGGCGGCGACCTAGCGCGATGCTAAGCCTTGTAGGTAATGGGAAATTCCCTGGTTTTCACTGGAAATCTCACCTATGTCTGTCTGTCTGTGTCTCTCTCTCTCTCCTTCAGCTCAAAGCTAACGCTCTACCACTTGAGACACAGCGCCACTTTTTCTCCTTATGTGGTGCTGAGGAATCGAACCCAGGGCCTCATGCATGCAAGGCAAGCGCTCTACCACTGAGCCACCTTCCCAGCCTTCTTTTTCTGTTTTTACAGTACGGGGGGATGGAACCGAGGGCATGGTTTGCATGCTGACAAGCAAGCACTCCAGCACTGAGATACATCCCCAGCCATTCTTGTGCCTTTTTTAAAAAAATGTACTTGAGACTGGGAAGGTGGTTTCATGGTAGAGTGCCTACCTAGCATGCAGGAAGCCCTGGGTTTGATTCCTCAGCACCACATACACAGAAAAAGCTAGAAGTGGCGCTGTGGCTCAAGTGGTAGAGTGCTAGCCTTGAGCAAAAGAAGCTCAGGGACAGTGCTCAGGCCCTGAGTTCAAGCCCCAGGACTGCCCAAAAGAAAATTGTATGTGAACAAGTAAATACGTATACATACTGATGGTTAAGGAACTCAAGGAGTAAACAGTAAAATTAAGGGCTCACCTGTGGTCCCCAACTTTTTTCATTTCCAAAGCACGGCTTCCACGTTTCCTCAGGAATTTCAGTTAGAATTGTGAGAGCATTCTCCATTTTTTTCTGATTTGCATTCCTCTGCCTTGGCTCCTCATCTGTTGCTAGTTGCACATCTGAACAGCCCTCAGAAGCTAAGGGGATTCCAATGACTTCAAAAGAAAAGGAAGTCAAAAGGAAAGCATCAGTGGCTCACACCTGTAATCTGGGCTACTCAGGTGGTTGAAATCTGAGGATCACAGCTCAAAGCCAGCCAGCACAGGAAAGCCCATGAAACTCTTTAATGAACCACCAGAAAACCGGAAGTGGCGCTGTGGCTCAAAGTGGTAAATCAGTAGCCTTGAGCAAAAGAGCTCAGGAAGATTCCAGAAGTCAAGCCCCAGGACCCACCCACCCCCCAAAAAAAAAGGAAAAGAAAAGGAAGCCAGGTGCTGGTGGCTCACATTTGTAATCCTAGCTCAAGAGGCTGAGATCTGAGGATTTTGGTTCAAAGCCAGCCCAGGCAGGAAAGTTCAAGAGACTCTCATCTTCAATTCAGCACCAAAAAAAGCCAGAAGGGAATCTGTGGCTCAAGAACAGCACACAGACCCTGAGTTCAAGCCCCCAAGACTGGTACAAAAAATAATAAATAATGAAAAGAACAGACCTGTCATAAACCTTGGGCCCATTGTGAAGCAAGCTGTTTTCCCTGACCATGATAACCTCCCCGCCATTCCTCATTTATCAGATGCAGAACTATGTCTGCAAGCATAGGCCCCCGCCGCCCCCCTCAGCCCAGCCCCACCCTGTGTCACTCCTGGGCGAGTTCACACTTCCCCTCAGTACTAGGCAGCTTGCCTAGTGGTGAGTCAGGAGGTCAGACACTCAGAGAGCAGCTTACATTAGCCGCATGCCAGGCGGTGGTGAGGGCTCGCCCATCTCCTGGTGGACAGACATTTCCAGCTGTTCCTATAAACATCTGTTGCCATCAGAATGCTTGCGCATCAGGTGGTGTGCCCAGGGCAGAGTCATTGCAGAAATTAGCCACTGAGTGTCTGCTCTAAGGCAGAGTTACCCAACCAAGGGGCCATGTACAAGGAGAATTTTATGAATGGTTGCCACATGGTCCATTCATCTCTTTCTTAACTTCTCTGTTTTGCTCATTCATTCATATGAATGAATGGGAGAGGTGTTGGCCGGCTGATGCAAATGTATAGCTGTACATTCAAGAGGCCCAGCGTACAACATCATGACTACTTTTCATAAATTGTAGCATATCTTTACAGTTGCTAGGAGGGCTGGGTGCTGGTGGTTCATGCCTGTCATTGTAGAGGCTGAGACCTAAGGATCATGGTTCAAAGCCAGCCCCAGCAGAAAAGTCTCTGTGAGACTCTTATCTCCAATGAACCACCAGAAAACTGGAAGTGGCTCAAGTGGTAGAGCACTTGCCTTGAGCTGAAGGGCTGAGGGACAGCACCCAGGCCCAGAGTTCAAGCCCCATGACTGACAAACAAAAAAAACCCAGCCTGGGTAGAATAGTCTCTGTGAGACTCTTACCTCCAATTAATTACTCAAAAACTATAAGTGGAGCTGTGGCTCACAGTGGTAGAGTGGTAGCTTGAGCAAAAGAGCTCAGGAATAGCCCCCAGGCCTTGAGTGCAAGCCCCAAAACCAGAAAAATAAGTTAATTAATTAAATTGCTACAAGAATTTTTTTTTTGGTATATGTGTGAATGCCATCCTGGGCTTGAACTCAGGGCCTGAACACTGTTTCTGACCTTTTTCACTCTACCACTTGAGCCAAAGCTCCCCTCCCTACTCCATTTTTGCTAGTTCATTGGAGATCAAAGTCTCTCATGGACTTTCCTGCTTGGTCTGGCCTCGAACTGTGATCCTCAGATCTCAGCCTCCTGAGCAGCAAGGATGACAGGCGTGAGCCACCAGCACCTGTCTTTAGTCAGAATAGATTTCGATGTTCTCAAGCCACAGGCACATAGACAGGAGGTAGCGGTGCAGGGTGTGTGGTGGGAAGAACGTTCCCCTGGCTCAGTCAGCACTGCTGGACCTGCCCGGGCCGGGGGCTGGCAACTGAAGTGGGGATGCAGAGAAGGTTCTGGGCAGAGGTTCCCTCCATCTGTGGGCCCTGCTGCTTTCTCCAGGTAGCCAGGGTGAAGACAGAGAGGAACGAGAGGCCTGGCAGATGGTGTGGGCTGCAGAGGCGACTGTTGTTCAGGGTGTGGGGAACCCCCACCCCAAATCCGGTGATAGAAGCAGTGCAACAGGCAGTGGGAGAAAATGAAACTCAGCTTGTTGTTTTGTTAACTCTGGAGGACCCAGGTGCAGGCTGGGCGCAGGCGCAGACGCAGGCTAGGTGCAGGCTGGGCGCAGGCGCAGATGCAGGCTAGGTGCAGGCTGGGGCGCAGGCGCAGATGCAGGCGCTGGCACCGGCACAGGTATGCGCATGCGCAGGGTGGGCTCAGGCACAGGCGCTGGGTGGGGTGCGGGCGCATGCGCAGGCCTGCACCCACCCCAGGTCTGTCAGGGGTGCCCTTTTTCACCATCTCTCAGGCTTCTGCTCAAATGTCTCCTCTCTGGCCACCTTCTATGACACCTTTTATCTTGGTTTTCGTGTGTGTGTGTGCGCGTGCACACATGCTCTCGGATCCTGGAGTTTGAACTCAGGGCCTGGGCACTGTCCCTTAGCTTTTGTGCTCAAGGCTGGTGCTCGACCAGTTGAGGCACAGCTCTACTTCTGGCTTTTTGCTGTTCAGTTGGAGCTAAGAGTCTCTGGACTTTCCTGCCTCAGCTGGTTTCACTCCTCCAATCTCAGCCTCCTGCATAGCTGGGATTAGAGGCATGAGCCACCACACCCTTGCCTGACTTAAAAGTTACACATTCTTGAATCTTCCAGCCCTGATTCATATTAATTTATAACTTTCACCCCTGCGGGCAAACAGTATAAACTTCTGATTGTTCCGGAGGGAAATATTTACAATGTAAACATGAGATCACATCGGTCCTCACAGCCCTGGTGGCTCATAGTTGAAATTTCACCTCTTTCCCGGGCCTATAAGTTTTTGTGTTTTGTTGTTGTTGGTGGTGGTGGTGGTCATGCAGCTTGAACTCTGGGCCTGGGTGCTGTCCCTCAGCTCTTCAGCTCAAGGCGAGCGCTCTACCACTTGAGCCACAGTGCCACTTCCAGTTTTCTGGTGGTTAATTGGAGATAAGAGTCTCACGGACTTTCCTGCCTGGGCTGGCTTTGAACCTCTATCCTCAGATCTCAGCCTCCTGAGTAGCTAGGATTACAGGCGTGAGCCGCAGGCGCCCCACCTGTCTCCATGTTTGTCCCTAAAGAATCTTGTCCCTGTCCTCCCACTGTCCTGCTCCAGCCCTTCAGGCTGCCCTGGGTCCGGGGGGGATCACCTGTAGTCTCGGTCACTGAGGAGGCTGGGCTCACAAGTTTGAGGCCAGACTGGAAAACATAGAGAGACCCTGTCCTCCAAAATATATTCTCCCTCTCTCTCTCTCTCACACACACACACACAGATTGTGTAGCCAGGCTGGCCTCTAACTCCCCATCCTCCTACCTCAGCCTCCTAAATGTTTCCATCACACCAGTTATTTTTCTAGAGAATTTAAGATGCCGGCTGAGATCCATGTACTAACTTTCCAGGGCCAGTTCAAACACCACATTATACAGCAGAGATAAGTAATATATTTATTTTCCTTAAAAAAAAAAAAACCCATACAAGGAAATAGCCAGGCATGGTAGCATGTGCCTACTATAATCCCAGCACTCAGGAGGTAGAGGCAGGAGGAGGCCAAGTTCAGGCTAGCCTGGGCTACAAAGCCCTAGTACTGGTACACACACACACACACACACACACACAAGAGAGAGAAAGAAAATGTATTTAGTTTGGCCCAGTGGTGCACACCTGTAATCCCAGCTACCCAGCCAGCCAGCCAGGGCAAATCAAAAGAGTGCACTTCTAAAAAGTGAAGCAAAAACAGGGCCAAGGATGTGGCTCAAGGGCTAGAGCACCTGCCTAGTAAATGCAAGGCCCTGCGTTCAAACCCACAATCGCACACCACACTTGCAAAAAGGCAAAAAAAGATGTTAACATTTTTTTTTTGTTGTTGTTTTTTGCCAGTCCTGGGACTTGAACCCAGGGTCTGGGCACTCTCCCTGAGCTTCTTTTTGCTTAAGGCTAGCACTCTACCACTTGAGCCACAGCGCCACTACTGGCTTTTTCTGTGTATGTGGTACTGAGGAATTGAACCCAGGGCTTGATGCATGCTAGGCAAGCACTCTTCCAGTGAGCCACCTTCCCAGACCGACGTTAATGCTTTGGAAGCAGGCCTTGCACACAAAGTGGTGAACGCGAACCTGCCTGGCAGGAGCGGGCAGAGCCCGCAGCTGGGCCTGCTGGGACCCCATGGGCCTGGGAAGATGGAAAGCTGATAGACCCGTGGGGAGGGGCCGAGAAAGGAGGAGGAGAGGGGGGGAAAGGGGGAGAAGGAGGGAGCACGTGGGAGGGACAGGAAGCCTGAGTCAGAGGCCACCCCAAAGTTATCTGGGCTCTCATCTCTGCGGCTGCAGTTAATAACATGAGGCTGAAGGCTGCTAAACACCGGCGGGAGTGTTACTGCCACAAGAAAATAAGTGCTTGCGTGGGTGGGTGGGCGGGCGGGGCCTATGCTAATCAGCCGGGCTGGGCTGTGCCCACTGGTGTGCAACTGCAGAACCACAAGCCGGAGACAAGCAAGGCGGGGAGGGGAGGGGAGGGGACCCTCAGAACCCGGGATGATCCCAGCTACGCAGGAGGCTGAGATCTGAGGATCATGATTCAAAGTCAGCCCGGGGAAGGGAAGGCCGGGAGACTCTCATCTACAATGCACCAGCAGAAAAGCCCAAAATGGAGCCATGGCTCATTTGTAGAACACTAGTCTTGAGTTAAAAAAAAAAAAAAAGGAAAAAGCCAGGTGCCGGTGGCTCACGCCTGTCATCCTAGCTAGTCAGGAGGCTGAGATCTGAGGATCACTGTTCAAAGCCAGCCCAGGCAGGAAAGTCTGTGGGACTCTTACCTCCAGTAAACCACCAGAAAACCGGAAGTGGTGCTGTGGCTCAAGTGGTAGAGCGCTCACCTTGAGCTGAAGAGCTGAGGGACAGCGCCCAGGCCCAGAGTTCAAGCCCCACAACCAACAGAGGGAGAGGGGGAGAGGAGAGAGAGAGAGAGAGAGAGAGAGAGAGAGAGAGAGAGAGAATGGTAGCTCATGCCTGTAGTCCCAGCACTCAGGAGGCAGAAGGCAGGGAAATCTCAAATTCAAAGCCAAACAAACTAAAAAGATAAATACATGCACACACACACACACACACACACACACACACACACGAATCCACAGAGCCAGCTAAGCCTTGTAGCGAGTTGCTGGTCCCTGGCTTGGGCCCTGCACAGGGGTCTGGAGTGGGAAGGGGCCCCCCCGCCTGTTCGGAACATGGAGAGAACAGAGGCCAGGCCCCCTCCCTGCCGCCCTGGGGGGCCGCACCCACCCTGTGTGAGCCCCCCAGGCCTCCCACGCCTCTCGTGGGCGTGAGGGAGACCCAGAAATAGGAGAAGGAACTGACGGCCGTGACTCATCTATCTGCAGCCGGTGCCTGGCACCGGGCCTCCAGCAAGCCCAGAATATTCCAGAACACTGTGCATCCTCTAACTCATCCTGACCAGCTGAAACCAGCAGAGAAGGTTCTGGAATGTGGGGCCACCCCAGATAGTCAACATGTCCATGTAGTGACATTCACGGACGCCTGATGTCTGCCGGGCCTTTGGCCTTGAGCACTTCTATAAATCCTAACACCCCGGAGGCTGAGACAGGAGGACCGGAATCCAAGGCCAGGCGAGGCTACATAGGGAGACTCTGTCAAGCCATCCAACCAAAACGAAGCCACAGTGACCAAAAATGACAATGCGGTAGTTAGCTGGGTGGAGGGACTTCCTTGTCCTCTTATGTAGCCCAGGCTGACCTTGACTTTACCTTGCTCCTACCTCAGCTTTCTGAGTGCTGGGATTACAGGCATGAGCTACTTGCTCAGTTTTCTTCTACCTCTTTGGTACGGCTTTGGGTGGGGGCCTTACTCCCATTCCCGCCACTCAGTTTCCTCAGCTGTAAAATAGGATCCTCAGTGCCCATTTTCCCCCCTCCTTTTGTAAGATCATTTATATGAAGATGGAGAATCATTCCTGACCCAAGAAACTTGATTGGTGGCGGGGATAGGTGAAGATACGCGGGCCAGCCAAACACCCTGCCACTTTTATTTTATTTTATTCGTTTCCAGCTGTGGGGCTTGAACTCGGGGCCCTGGGCACTGTCTCTGAGCTCTTTTTAGCACTCTACCACTTGGAGCCACAGTACCACTTGCGGTTTTCTGGTGGTTCATTAGAGATGAGTCTCATAGACTTTCCTGCGCAGGCTGGCTTCGAGAACCACAATTCTCAGATCTCAGCTTCCTGAGTAGCTAAGATTACAGGCGGGAGCCACCAGTGTCTGACTTGTGCTTGTTTTTGAGATAGGGTCTCGAGTAACTCTGTCTGAATTGACTTCAGCCCCCGATCTCCCCACCTCTACTTTCTGGGAGTTCAAGCTGGGGCTGTGGCCTTTGTCGGGGGTGGGGATGGGGTGGGCAGGGAGTGATTCTTTCCTGGGCTACTGTCCAGAGGAAGGGCTGTGGTGGCAGAGGCTGGCCAAGGCTGGATTTAGCTCTTGGAGCTGAGGTTGGCTGAGGCCTTTGAGTCAAATCCTAAGATAGCTGTGCAGGGGCAGGTGACTCAGCCCCTCCAGGAACACAGCCCCTGTGGGAAGGCAGGCCGGGGGTTCGAGGCCCAAGGCCACTGGGCTGTGACTCACCTTGGGCCGGGCAGGGATGGGGGAGGGGGGCTTGGGTCAGGCCCTACTGCTCTTCAAACCTCAGTTTCTCTGTGTGTGTGTGGGGGGGGGGACTGCAGGCAGGAAGTGCAGAGCCTGGCATCTGTGACCCCATTCTTTTCCTCTCCAAGGCCAGCAGATGCTTTGTGCTGCCATTTCAGAGAGGTACGGCCACCAGCTCCAGGTCACACAGCAAGGCTTTGGTTCCCACTGGGTCTGAATTCAAGGCCTGGAAATGGGGTTGCTGGGGACTACAATGGGGGGAAAGGGCAGAAGGTCTCTTGATCCGGGCGCCGATGGTGGCTCACGCCTGTCATCCTAGCTACTCAGGAGGCTGAGATGTGAGGATCGTGGTTCAAAGGCAGCTAGGCAGGAAAGTCCATGGGACCCTTACCTCTAATGAACCCACAAAAAAGCCAGAAGCGGAGCTGTGGCTCAAGGGGGTAGAGCGCCAGAGTTGAGCAAAAGAACTCAGGGACAATGCCCAGGTCCCGAGTTCAAGCCCCAGGACTGGTATGAAAAAGAGAAGAAAGCGCACGCGCCCGGGGCCGTGTGGAACGTTTATTAACAAAGTAGAAAGCGGCTGTGGACGCGCGGCGTCCTCCGGGATGACCACCAGGGGGCGCCGGCCAGGCTCCGTCCAGTTGGCCCATCCAGGGTGACGGGGACTCCTGGGAGTCCACCCCGACCCCCAGCGCCCCCACTTCTACCTGGAGGCACGGTCATCAGTAGCAGCACAGTGAGGTTTGAGAAGAGGGTGTTGGGGGGGGTCGTAGTGAGCTGTGGCCTTGCCCCCCCACTTTGGCCGGTCCCCCCTCCTTTGCAGCTGGTCCCCCAAGGGTCTTTGCACCTAGGGGCACCTCATCCCTGGGGCTGGTCGGGAGGCACTGGAAGGGGGTTCTTCACCCCCAGAAACTGGAGCCCGGATCCTGGACACGCAGAGATGGGGGTCCCTGGGGAGGAGGCAGTACCAGAGTGAGCAGGGGCACTAGGAACGGGGGAGGGGAGGCTGCGCCAGGCACAGGGGGACATCAGCACCCAGCCTTGGGCTGCGTGGAGAGAGGAGCAGACCAGAGGGACACAGTGCTGAGGGCTGGAGCCTGGCAGCCCCGGTGTGATATATCCTCCCCTGTCTCCTGGCTCAGCTGACAGCTGTCAGAAGAGGTGGCCTCTGTCTTTAGGGCCCAGGCCTTGGGGAAGGGAGACCCCATTTCCTCTGGCAGCCTCCTCCTCACCAGCTATAGGGCCTCCTGGCTGGGTTCCGGGCGCTGCTGGGTTCTCAGGGCAGTGGAGAGCAGCTCGGTCAGGGCGTCGAGCTTCCCGGCCAGCACGTCCATCCGCTTCTCCAGAGCCTGCTGTGAGCTGCTGAGCCCCAGCTGGAGGTCGCACAGGATCATGTGCATCTGGGCAGAGACACGGGGTGGGGGGGCGTCAGGGGGGCTGTGGGGGGCAGGAGCAGTCACCTTCCTTGTTCCTTTGTTTTTGGTCGGTCATGGGGCTTGAACTCTGGGCCTGGGCGCTGTCCCTCAGCTCTTCAGCTCAAGGCTAGCGCTCTACCACTTGAGCCACAGCGCCACTTCCGGTTTTCTGGTGCTTTATTGGAGATAAGAGTCTCACAGACTTTCCTGCCAGGTCTAGCTTTGAACCTCAATCCTTAGGTCTCAGCCTCCTGAGTAGCTAGGATGACAGGCGTGAGCCACCTGGCTTCAGATTCCTTTCTTGAGATGGGATTTTGCTGCGCAGCCCTTCTGCCTCAACCTTCCAAGTGCCGGGATTATAAGCATATGCTACTATACCACCATGCCACCTGATTCTCAGCCACTTGGCCGGATGTTTTTCCTATCAGTGTGGGGACCTGTGGCTGTCACCCTGGCATTGGGACCCAAGGTCGCTGTTTGAATCGTCATGCACGAATGAGAGAAAGCAAAGTCCCATTGGGGAAAGGAAAGGTTGGACCAGGCAGGCCAAGGGTGTGACATCCCTGTCACTGGCCAAGACCCAGCTCTGCCCAGACAGGCCCTAGTCACGGCCTTCACAGCTGCTGCAGAGATGGAGTTTTTGGCAACCAAGGAACCTGTGTTCTTTGTGCCAGCCTGGCTCGGTTGAACAGGATTGGTTTTGCCATGGAGGTTTGAGTTTGCTTTGTACCTTCGGTTGGGTTTTATTTGCTTCGGGCTGGGGGCTGGGGGCGTGGCTCAGCTGGTAGAGCGCCAGCCAATGAGCGCCTGCGGTCTTGGACCAAAAAAATAAACACATAAAAAAGTCTGAAGGCATTCTAGATCCGCCCGCAGGTAAGCAATAAAGATAACTTGCTGTGGGTCACGTAAAATAATATGTATCAAAGTGAACTCCAGGAAATAGAAACGAACAAGAAAACAGGGGAGTTTGATACTAAAGTTTGGAGTTCTTTCTACCATGTTTTTTGTTTTTTTGGGGGACTTGTTTTGTTTGGTGCCAGTCTTGGGGCTTGAACTCGAGGTCTGGATGTTGTTCCTGAGCTTTGCCACTCAAGGCTGCTGCTCTACCACTTTGAGCCACAGCTCCACGTCTAGCTTTTTTGCTAGTTCACTGGAAATCAGAGTCTAGGGGCTGGGAAGGTGGCTCAGTGGTAGAGTGTTTGTCTAGCATGCAGGAAGTCCTGGGTTCGATTCCTCAGTACCACATACATGGAAAAAGCCAGGAGTGGCGCTGTGGCTCAAGTGGTAGAGTTTCCTTGAGCAAAAGAAGCTCAGGGACAGTGGCCAGGCCCTGCGTTCAAGCTCCAGGACTGGCCTGGCCTCAAACCAGGATCCTCAGATCTCAGCCTCCCATGTGGCTGGGATTACAGGTGTGTATCATGATGCCCAGCACAATGCTCCCCTCCTCCCCCAGCTCTGAAGGCTCATTGGGCATTCCTAGCGTTCCCTGCCAGCCAGCGGGCGCCCCCGTACCTTGGAGATGTCCACCATGGAGTTGACTTGCTCCCGCAGTTTGCGGTGTTTCAGCCGTACCTGGCGGAACCTGGGGATGGGGGGGGGCTGTGGTCACGTCCCCATGCACCCCCACGCGTCCCCCACCCCGCGCCGCCCAACACCCCGGGGCCCTCACGTGTGGATGGCGGCCAGCAGCCGGCGCTGGTGCCTGCGGGCTGCGCGCGAGTCCTTCCTGCGCGTGTGTTTGTAATACATCCACGCCTCCTGCAGCAGCCGGGCCGCCGACTCCCTCATCTGGGGGAGGGGGGCACGGGGGTGGGAATGGGCTGGGGGAGGGGGCTGCGGGGGGAGGGCAGGGGCAGGCGGAGCACGGGAATCCTGGCTTCTGTTACTGTTATTACTACTACTATAATGATCATTAGACAAAGCTAGGATTCGAACTCAGGGCCTCCCCGGCACTACCACTTGAGCCACGCATTTCCCCTGCCTATTTTTTCAGATCGGGTCTGCTTTGGTTCAGGAGCCTCCTTCCTCCCCCTCCACTCTCCAATAGCAGGGGCTACAGGCATGCGCTGCCCCACCCGGCTGAGGCCCGGAGAGGAGGCTGGATGGCACTCACCTCTTTGGTGTAGTGAATGTCCATCATGAAGTTGTGCACATGCTTCTCGGCCTTGTTGAACTCCAACTTTCGGGCTACCACGGCCACCAGCAGGGCGGTGCAGCACACCCCCTGTGGGAACAGAGCAGGAAGGGTGGATTGGGGGGCTGGGGGGCTTGGGGGGGCTACCGGCTCCCCCCAGTGGACAGAACCAGAGACTGTCAGAGAGGCAGTGCAGAAATCATTTGCTTCATGCACGTAATCCCGGCCACTCAGGAGGCTGAGAACTGAGAATCACGGTTCAAAGTTAACACAGGATTCAATATCAACCCCAAAAGTGGCTGGAGGCGTGGCTCAGATGATAGCGTACTTGATCAGCAAGAGGGAGCCTTAGGTTCAATTCCATGCAAGTCAGAAAAAAGGGGGAAAAATAGGGATGTGGGGCTGGGAAGGTGGCTCAGTGGTAGAGCGCTTGCCTTGCATGCCTGAGGCCCTGGGTTCGATTCCTCAGCACCACATAAGAAAAAAGAAAAAAAAGCCGGAAGTGGCGCTGTGGCTCAAGTGGTAGAGCAGTAGCCTTGAGCTGAAGAGCTGAGGGACAGCGTCCAGGCCCAGAGTTCAAGCCACGTGACTGACAAAAAGAAGAAGAAAAAAGGAATGTGGAGGCTTGGAGTATGTGGGTTCTGAGGAGGGAATAAGTGAGGCTCTGGTGAGCTCAGACCTTGCCCTGTGGATGGGGTCTCTCTGAGGAGCGGGACTCACCATGACGCCGGTGCAGAGGCAGACGATCTTGCCCCACATGGTGCCCGGCACCACATCACCGTAGCCGATGGTCAGGAATGTGATGGGGATGAGCCACAGCGTGTCCGTGAGGTGGCCGGTGGCGTTCACAGCCTGCCTACGGGCAGGGAGGGGTGAGTTCTGGGAGCCCACCCTGGGTGTCACCCTGCTCCTTTCTCCTCTCCCCTCCCAGCTGCCTCCTCCGCCTGAGCGGGGGCGGCCCCGAGGGGTGCCCAGCCAGCCACGTCCGATTCCAAAGCCTGTCTGGTTCTGTGGTTGAGTTTGGTGGGACAGACCCTGGGGCGGGGCAGAGGGAGGCCAAAGAGGGGACCACCTATGGGGGGGGTCTCCCTGGAGCAGACAGAACTTCCAGGAAGGCTCCTAGTTAGGTTGGGGGGGGAGGGAATGAGGTGGGGAGGCTCCTGCTGTAATCTAAGCTATGAGGAGGCTGAGATGTGGAGGATCACAGTTGGAGGCCAGCCTGGGCAGAGGCTCACAGAGCACAGCGTCAGACGCTCAAGGCCAATACACTTCTCAGAAGAAAGCTGGGAGTGGCGCTGTGGCTCAAGTGGTAGAGTGCTGGCTTTGAGCAAAAGCAGCTCAGGGACAGCGCCCAGGCCCTGAGTTCAAGCCCAGGACTGGCACCAAAAAAGATAGACAGACAGATGTAAAAAGAATTATGGTAGATCCCTTCTCTCTCCCTCCCTCTCCCTCTCCTTCCCCCTCCCTCTTCTCTCCCCCCTCTCTGTCTGTCTGTCTGTCTCTGTCTCTCTCTCTCTCCCCCTCCCAGGAATCTAAGTCCA